CAGACCCCCAGCCCCACGTGGGAATGTGTTGGAAATGGGCTGGGAAAGGGCTGGGAATGAGCTGGGGGAACCAAGCCTGGTGATGCTGCAGACCCTCAGCCCCAAGCCAGAAATGTGCTGAGAAAGGGCTGGGAATGAACTAGGAAAGGGCTGGGAATGAACTAGGAAAGGGCTGGGAATGAGCTGGGGGAAGCAAACCTCAGGGATGCTGCAGACCCTCAGCCCCAAGCCAGAAATGTGCTGGGGATGGGCTGGGAATGAGCTGGGGGAGCCAAGCCCAGGATTTGGCCCCAGCTCCTCTAGGAATGACTTTTCCAACGGGAAATGGGAGTAGTGAGGATCAGCAGAGTGTGAGGTGTTTGGGAGTGCTGGTGCTGTCACCCAGGCTCTCCCCAGCCTGGTTTCTCCAGGGAAAGCTTGGCTTGGAGTCCATGGGCTGGTGGGTGGCTCTGCATCCCTTCACCCATCGCTCAGGGCTTTAGGGGTCTGTGGTGTTCCCTAGGGGTGGCAGATTGGCTTCCCCTTGGATCAGCCCTTGGTTTGGCTTGGATCTGTGTTCCTGGGGCTGCTCCTCCTGTTCCTGCTCTGTGGAAGCTGGAAGGACGTGGATTTGAGGCAAGTGAAGGTTCAACCTTCACATCACCAGGTTCAACAGCGTCCCTGCCAGAGCCAGGAGTGGCTCAGGGGTCTGAATCCAGCCAGGCCAGGTCAGGAGAGCCTGGCCGGGCTGTGGGATGCAGGCAGCGTGCCCAGGGATCCTCCTGACATCATCCCCTCGCAGCAGCTCGGCCTGGAAGTGACGTGGATGAGGCTGTGCTGGAGCAGAGCTCGGGCTTGCCCCGGGGCCCTCGGGGAGGGCGGTGGTGGAGCCGGGAAGAGGAGGAGAATCCTGCGCTGTCCCGTCCCATCCCTTTCCCTCCCAGCTGCTGTTCCTAAGCAAGACAAGCACAGTGTGTCCATCCCACACGGTGGCAGAGCTCCCCTCGCCAGGAGGGGACACCCTGGGGGCACAGAGAAGCTGTTAAAGCTCACAGGCTGCAGCCTGGCCCTGCCCTCTTCCCTCCATCCTGCTGATCCCATGGCCTGCAGCCCTCGTGGCTCAGCAGTCGGGGATTTCTCTTCACTGAGCAGGAATTGCTTTGATTTGTGCCTTGATCTTTAAGCCTCAGAGGTGCAGGGCTGAGACAGAGCCAGGGAGGATCCAGATCTGACTCTGGGGAGGCAATTCCACCGTGGCCAAGAGGTGGAGAGGACAGGGAGAGCCCACACATCTCCCTGAGGCTGAGAAACTGGGATTAAACTCAGTCTGTGCCCTAGACAGGACTGGTGGTGGTGCCTGATGCTGCAGAGAGGGGTTTGGCTCAGCCTTGGATTCACAAATCCCAGGCTGAGCATCAACAACATCCACAGGGATCCACCTGCATGCAGTGAGACCCTGGGTGTGACCCCAAATTCAGTCAGGGACTGGGATGGCCCCAAATTCAGGGACTGGGATGGCCCCAAACTCACTCAGGGATTGGGATGGCCCCAAATTCAGGGACTGGGGTGGCCCCAAATTCACTCAGGGACTGGGATGGCCCCAAATTCAGGGACTGGGATGGCCCCAAATTCAGGGACTGGGATGGCCCCAAACTCACTCAGGAATTGGGATGGCCCCAAACTCACTCAGAGATTGGGATGGCCCCAAACTCATTCAGGGACTGGGATGGCCCAAAATTCAGTTAGGGACTGGGATGGCCTCAAACTCACTCAGGAATTGGGATGGCCCCAAACTCAGGGTCTGGGATGGCCCCAAACTCACTCAGAGATTGGGATGGCCCCAAACTCATTCAGGGACTGGAATGGCCCCAAACTCATTCAGGGACTGGGATGGTCCCAAACTCACTCAGGGATTGGGATGGCCCCAAACTCAGTCAGGGATTGCCACAGAGTCTGGCTGCTGCTCCCTGCTGATGCAGCCTCAGGGATCACCAGTTCCCTGGAATTCCCAGTGCCTGGGGGGCCTGAATCCCCTGGTGCTCACAAAACAAGGCCAATCCTGCCTGCAGAGCTCTCTGTGCTGCTCAGTCGGAGCACGGACATGGAAACGCTGCTTTGGGGGGTGCAGAGTGCAGCGAGGGGGGGACGTGCCCCAGCCTGGCTCCCCGCCGGCACCGTCTGCCCAGGCAGGGGGGTTTGGGGGGGTTCACGGGGTCACGGAGCCGCCTGCCCCACTAATGAGGCCGGGCAGCCCCGGGGCAGCTCCCCTCTCCCGGCCAGCTCGGATTAGCAGCTGCCTGTCCCCAGCCCTAATTGAATTCTCTCCCCTTCACTTAATTCTCATGGATTTCTCGGCGCCTCCCCAGGGACCCATCCTGCCTAACTAGTTTAGGGCCAGCGCTGCTGGTCAGAGCCTGGCCAGCTCTGGGGGGTGAGGGAGGGTCACCTCCTTAGGGGGTGGCTGTGGCCGGGGTGGGGACACCAGCACTGGCACCGGGCGCCCCCTTCCCTGCACCAGTTCCAGCCCCTCACCAAGAAAGGGCTCATAACAGTAATTTTTGACAAGCAGAGCTAAATTTCTGCCTTACAGGAGGGTTCTGTGCCTGTTGCCTGCTGTGACCCCCCTCTTTTTTTACACCAACCCCACAGCTGAGCCTCCCCCCTTGGGGACCCCCCAGCCAAGCTTTGTGCGTTCCTCCGAGCAAACCCCCAGCTCCTCTCTCTCCCTTTCCTTCCAGCGCTTTATTTTTCCCTTCCCCTTTTCCCTTTCCTTCCCCTCCTCTTCCGATAGATCAAAGCCTCTGAGCCGAGCAGGCCCCGCAGCAGGATGGAGGCACGGCCGGGCTCGGCGTCCCCAGCGCTGCCACCCCTCGCTGCCAGCGCCCCTCGCCGCCACCTCCAACCCCCTCCTGCCCTGCCAGGCCGCGAATAAAGCTCGGATTTGTCCCTCCTTTTGTCTCAGCAGCCGTTGGGGAACAAGCAGCTGGCCTTCCAGCAGCAGCTCCTGCAGATGCAGCAGCTCCAGCAGCAGCACCTGTTAAACCTGCAGCGCCAGGGCCTGGTGAGCCTCCCGCCGGGGCAGGGCACGGTGCCCCTGCAGAGCCTGCCCCAAGGTAAGCACCACGGCCTGGGGGGGTCCCTGGGCTGGAGCTTGCCCAGATCTGGGTGAGGGGCACTGGTGTTGGGTTTTGTGGTGCCCCCAAAGTTTGGGGGGTGGTGGTGTCAGTAGTTGGAGATGTGTGGGGTTGGGGTGTGGGTTCCGGAGGGGTGCAGGGTTAGGGCACCTCTTCTCTAGCACAGGAATGGCAAGATTTGGGGTACGTTTTCCTCTGGCAGGGAAGTGTCAGGATTTGGGACAGGATTTGGGGTACCTCTTCCTCTGGCAGAGGATTGTCAGAATTTGAGGTACCCTGGCAAGGGGGTGCCGGGATTTGGGACACCTTTTCCTGTGGCAGAGGATTGTCAGGATTTGGGGTACCTCTCTTCCTCTGGTAGAGGAGTGTCAGGTTTTGGGACAGGATTTGGGACACCTCTCTTCCTCTTGACAGGAGAGTGCCAGGATTTGGGACATCTCTTCCTCTGCCAGAGGAGTGTCAGGATTTTGGGGTACCTCTTCCTCTGGCAGAAGGGTGCCAGGATTTCAGTTGTCTCTTCCTCTGGCAGGGGAGTGTCAGGATTTGGGACACCTTTTCCTCTAGCAGAGGAGTGTCAGGATTTAGGTTGTCTCTTCCTCTGGCAGGAGGGTGCCAGGATTTGGGAAATCAGGCTCTTCTCCCTTCTGAGAACAGCTCTGGGAGTGCTGCAGGTGCCTTGATCTGTGTTTCCCAATGGGGCTCTGCAGGCTCCCCTTGCTGTGCCCAGCTCCAGGTGATGCTCGCCCAGTGCTGGGTGAGATTTGGGGAGTCAGGGAGCAGGAAGGAAGCCCTGGGTGCTGTCTCACGTCCCTGCTGACATTGCTCACTCTCTCCTGTGCCTCAGCTGTTTGTCCCTCAGACCTCCAGCAGCTCTGGAAGGAGGTCACGGCCGCCCAGCCCGTGGAGGACAGCATTAAGCAGGAAGGTCTTGACCTCACCACCAACACCTCCAACTCTACCTCGTTTTCGGCCGCCAAGGTCTCGCCTCCCATTTCCCACCACCCTCTGCCCAATGGACAGAGCACCATGCACACGCCCAGAAGGGACAGGTAGAGCCGGGTCGGGCCCTGGCACTTTGTGTTTTTATTCCTGGGCAGGTGGAAGGGGCTGGCATCCATCACCCACAGGGCTGGGAGGGATGGGGGGTTCTGCCCACCCCATAAAAAAGGCCTGGCACTGTTTTGCTGCACCCACAGAGGACAGGGAGCTGTCACTGTGGGGTGTCCCATGGGTGCCCTGGGAATGCTGGAGCATCCCAGCTGCCCCACCTGAAGGCCCCTTTCCCTCTTGTGCAGCTCTTCCCACGAAGAGACCCCCGGCTCCCACCCGCTCTATGGCCACGGAGAGTGCAAGTGGCCTGGCTGCGAAACCCTCTGTGAGGACTTGGGGCAGTTTGTCAAGTAAGTGTCACCTTTTGGGGCAGGTTTTTCTGTCCCAGCTGGGATAAAATGCACCTGGTGGAGGGGAAGATCTTGGGAGTTGATCCAGGCATCCCAAAGTGTGTACCCTGAGCTGGGTGACCTCGTGGAGAAGGAGAAAACAGGAGACCAAGCATCCCAAACAGGATGATTCTGTCCCTGCATTCCATCAGGGATGGAATTGATGGAGGGGAAGGTCTTGGGAGTTGATCCATGCATCCCAGAGTGTGTATACTGAGCTAGGTGACCACATGGAAAAGGAGAAAACAGATCAGGCATCCCAAAGAGGATGACTCTGTCCCTGCATTCCATCCAGGACAGAATGCACCTGATGGAGGGGAAGATCTTGGGAGTTGATCCAGGCATCCCAGAGTGTGTAAGCTGAGCTAGGTGACCACATGGAGAAGGAGAAAACAGGACAACAGGCATCCTAAAATGTGCACCCTGAGCTAGGTGTGCTCATGGAGGAGGAGAAGTCAGATCAGGCATCCCAAAGAGGGTGATTCTGTCCCTGCATTCCTCCATTCCATGGAGGGGAAGATCTTGGGAGTTGATCCAGGCATCCCAAAGTGTGTACCCTGAGCTAGGTGACCTCATGGAGAAGGAGAAAACCCAGCAGGAATTGCTGCTGGTGTTGCCCCATCCTTGGAAATATCCAAGGCCGGGCTGGCTGGGAGTGGAAGGTGACCCTGCCCGTGGCAAAGGTGCAGTGGGATGAGCTTTATGAGCCCTTCCAAGCCAAGCCATGGGATGAGTGAATGATGTGGAGGAGGCCAGAGCCCGGCAGCAGGCGAGGGGGGCTGGCAGCCCTGCTGGGGACACGGGGGGAGGCAGCAGATGGCAGATGGCACCGCTGACACCGCTTGTGGGCTCCGGCGCTGACTGATTAACTCTGCTGTCTGAGAGCCCTCTGCTAGCGTCAGGGTCAAACAAATTGTTTTCACGCTTCGTCAGAGGTTTACTTAATTAGTTCATTTGCAATTAGATCTCTTTGTAGCCGGGATTTTTAGCAAAGACATCAGAAGGAGCTGACGGGGCTCCTTCCCCCGCCTCCCCGGCTGTCTGCTCCTCGCCGAGCACCGCGCTCTGCAGCGGGCAGGATTTGGGGCTTTCCACACTCACCCTCTGTCCTCTGCCACCCTCTGAGGGCTGGCTCTGGGTGGGAACATCTCTTGGACTGTGCCAAGCCAGCAGAGGCCTTGCCCAGGAGGATGAGGAGGTGTGAAGGCAGCCGGGGGATGAGTGAAGGATGATTCAGCCTCCTGTGTCCTCCTTCCTGTGCCTCTGAGTCATGGGGTGAACCCAGATAAGGCATCTCCTCCTGCCTGGCAGGGCATGTTCCAGTGGCACGGGCCAGATGAGCAAGCTCCGGGTTGGGAGCTGGAGCTGGAGTTGGCAGGGAATGCCCAGAGCTGGGTCAGGGGGCTGGCAGAGCTGTGCTGTGCCAGGCAGGGTCCCCTCCTTGCCAACATGGGCACGAGGGAAGGGGCTCTGTCCCTCTTTGCCACCATGGGCACCAGGGCAGCCTCCCAGCAGCACTGGGAAGGGGTTTCTGTTCCCTCCTTGCCAACATGGGCATATATTGAGGTGTGGGACAGACAGACAGAAAATTTGCAGCTCCCAAAGGCTGAGCCCAACTGGAGCTGGAGCCTGCCTTGAGTCTGGGCATCCCCTGGGTATCCCATGGGCATCCCCTGGGCATCCCCTCCATGGGCAGCTGTGCTGGGCTGGAGGGGCAGCGTGGCCTTGGAGCTGTGCTGGGTTGGGGTCAGTGGGAATTGGCTCCAT